CCCATACACCCCGCTCTTCGAGTGTGTCACTCTCTCTGTCCCACTTCAGGTAAGTAGGGAGGGGCTGCTGAGAGAGCTTGGATTTGGGCTTGCAAGCTCCCATTGCCTGGGTGAACCGGATGGGACTGCAGCTGTGTGATCATGCTCTTAGTAGCCTGCCTGAAATCTCCTTTTTTTGCCTTTGGGAAGTTCTCAGAACAGAATCTCTCTCCATCCACTGCTCTGCAGCTCCCCTAAATCCTGGGGTGGTAGGGACTCAGTTCCCATGCCATGTAGATCCAAGTGGACACTGAACCCCAAGTGACCCTGGCTTTTGGAGTTGGCAAGGGTTTTAGGCAAGGAGTTTGGCAAGGAGTTTCCCTTACGCTGAGCAGGAGTTCAATGAGCTTCCCTTTCCTCCCTCTGTTCTTCCTTGCTCTCTGCTGCCTATAAGGCAGCTGCCATTCCCTGCTATTCCTACTTTAATGAGTTCCTTACTTTCTTTCTGACTTCCCTGTGTCTCTGAACCAAATTTCTTCCCAACACATTCTCCAGAAAGCTGGGTGTGCATGGTCACATGTTAGTTCTGTCATTCAGGACTGTCTCCATGTGGCCCTCTACTTTCCTGTTCCAATAGCCTGACCAGTCAGGATCCCATGCTGGGAACACAAACCACTCCAGGTCATTTCCATCAGAAAGGGATATGGGGCTTACAGAATCCCTGAAAGGTCTGGAGGAGCAGAATCCTACTCAGACTTTTCATTTCAAGGACAATACCGCCCAAGGTAGCCAAGCTCCAAGTGCCAGGAAGCTGCTGCCCCTCCCACCAGAGCAACTTCTCACACCAACACGGCCAGACAAAAGCCCTAGAACGGAGAGGCCGGCCCCTGCCACAGCCTCGAAACACTCCCATCTCCACGACCTTGCCTCCAGCTGCACCAGCAGAAGGAACTGCTCTCCATCTCAGGCTTCCAAATATCACACAAATGCATTTACAGAACCTGCCGTGCATTTTAAAAACCTAGCAGTTAAAAAAGTCTGGGACATGGAGTTGTTAGGTTTCCACTCAAGAGGGTGGAATGAAGATCAAGAGAAAGCCGGTCCCCCAAATCTCCCCAATCACCATTCTTCCTGTCCTAAAACAGGTCATTCTTCAATAAAGAAACAGTAATAAACACCTTCTTTCTGTCTCGATTTAAATTTCAAATAGTGTTAAGAGAGTTGAAAAATCATTCTGCTAGTGGGTAAAACCAAGATCCTAACTCAGGTAATCATGGAAGAATATTTCATTTTCACATTTAGTTAGTTCTAGCCCCAGCAGAATACAACTGTAAGATGATGAATTTGGTAACACAGCTGACCACAGTTCTCTTTTAACTCATGTATTAAACCCACACTGGTCTCTGAATTTTATTCTGCTGGAAATTAAACAGACTAAGCTTGAAAATGCATTAATTTTCCAAGTATCTCTAAGTTATTTTATGGTAAGCTAAAAGCAGGGAAGGCGAGTGTGACATCATGATTTGTAGTAAAAAACATATATTTGGCCTTTGTCTCCATTCCAGCACAGAGTTCCTAAAACCCTCGGAATTTCCTAAGAGGTAAGGCAGAAGAAGGTGTCTTGTTACAGTGAGAACTGTGTGATAGGAAAGTTAGATTCTGAGTCCTACCCGACCTCTGGGAAGAAAAGAGGGGAGGAGACAGAGCTCAATCCCCAGTGGCCCTAATTTAACCAGTCATGCGTACATAATCAAGCCTCCATACAACTCAAAAGAACAGGGTTCAGAGCCTCTGGGTTGGTGAGCAGGTGGTGTTGGGGGAGCTGCCCTCTTGGAGACGCTATGGAAGCCCTGTGCTTTTCCCCCATACTTTGTCCTGTGTTCCTGAATAATATCCTTTTATAATAAACTGGCAACGTTCCTCTGAGTTCTGTGAGTTGCTCTTGAAAATTAATCAAACCCAAGGAGGGGTTCGTGGGAACCTCCACTCTATATCAGGTTGGTCAGAAGCACAGGTGACAACCTGGACTTGTGACTGGTGTCTGAAGGGTGTGTGTGTTTATGGAGGAAGTCTTGTAGGACTGAGCCCTTAACCTGTGAGATCTGACACTATCTATGTCCAGGTAGGTAGTGTCAGAACTGTAGGATTGAATTGTAGGATACCCAGTCCGTGACCACTGAGAACTGGACTGAGTTAACTGCTTGGTGGTGGTAAAAAATTCACACAGACATTGGAGAGAGGTACCTTTTACACCCTAGTTATTGCTCTTAAAGGCTTGACATGATCAAAGCAATAAACCAGAAGAAAATAACTTTATTAGGTACAGTACCACAGTATAAGTACAATTCTTACTTCCCCAGTGATCACTCACATAGTAACTCCCTGTATCCAAAGGGTGAAGGAAGGAATGTTCTCTTAAGGAACTTTCAGCCTTTAGGAATTTAACCTCATTGCTTTGACAAAGTGAAAATTCTGAAATGTCCTAAATGAAGTGACATAAGAGCCAGAGAATGAGGGAGAAAGACAAGGGAAGGTCATCAGTCAATAACCATGGGACAGAGCTAGTCAGAAACCCCACATTCCTGGACAAAGTCATTTCAACAATCACCAGAAGGCCCCCAGGGCCATTGCATCCCACTTGCACGTGATCAGTGTCTGACTGTCACCAACACCAAGCCACAAGCCTTCTCTAAGGACTAACTGTCTGTCTATCCTCAGATTGTCCCTGCTTTGCTTTATTTCGTCTTCCTTAGATGTAGCCAGTGTGAATTGAGACACTCTCTTTCCTGGAGACCCCTCATAAATGTGTCCTGTTTCTTGAGTCTGGCCGACAAGTTATTTCTGCTAACTGGCCTTGCTGCTGGTGAAGCAGAAACTTCCTGACCCAGGACTCAGTCCTTATCCTGGCTGCATCTGTAAAGGATCAATAACCCCTGTTATGTCAGAGATCTCTCGGTGTCTAGAGTGTTTGATTTGCCACCTTCTTCGGATTATTTCTCCAAACTGTACAAAAGGGAGGCAATGGCAGTATCTCCCTTTTTCTGACAGGAAAATGATTGGGTAGATACTGCAAGCTTCTTCAGCGCTTAAGACAAGAAATGTGACAACGCACAATGCCCTAAAATAAAAATAGTGTCCAACTGACACTTGCTGTTTGGGTTGTGAGAATCCTCTACCGAGGTTGCCATGGGGAAAAAGGAGGGGAGCCTGCAAAAGAAATTTCCTTCTCCCTTCTCAGAAAACCACCCACAACACCACCATACCCCACCCCACACCCATCCCACCCCACAGGTGTCTCTGAGGGATCATCATACAATACCTCACACTGCTCTCACAAGGGAGCAGGGGCACAAAGACAACCAGAAATTGATCACTGTCCCTAACTAAGGGAAAAAGGTCTTCCTAGTTCTTCTCCTTCGGGGTATTTTTAAAAGGCTCAACTTGGGACTAGTGATTTCTCATGGACCGTTAGATACTATCTTCTGCCAATGCTGACCTGTAAAGCAAAGGGGACGACAATCGTATGCAAAAAGCACAGATGTGGCCTCTCAAACCTCAGGGTGAGAGGCACCCATGCGAGGCTGAAGCAGCACTAGGATGGACTCGCAGATGGGGGGCAACAGCAGCAGAGTAAGCATCCCACGGAGGTACAGCCGCCTTAGGCCTTGCCTGAGAATGCTAGTGGGGACATGGATGTAAGCGTTGCTACTAAAGGCCTAATAATTTACTTCTCTACCCTTTTAATTTCTCTCTAGAGCAAGACATTAAATATTTATTATTGCTGACCCCCAAAGACTCTACTCCACAAGATGGAGGAGTACTATGTGTTTCGACTCTTCAGCAGCAAAGTGCCCCATAGTCAAAGCCTAGCCCACCCAGGTCTCTCAAAGGAGCAATGACTCCTGCCAATTCCTCAGCAGCCAACATACCTTCTGAGGCACCTACACATGAGCTACAAGTGTTCTCAACCTAACACTCATCACACAGGTAGAGGCAAATGCCTTTCAAAACCTCCCACCCCCTGCTCATTTCATACCCAGCGGAGGCACCTTGTCACTGCTGATGATCTATTTGTAGGCAGGCTGATCCTAAGATACCAAGTCACTGTCACAGAATATAATGATACGAGGCTTGCAGAAAAATCAGAATTGACAACCCGGACTATTTGATCAAAGCTGCCATGGGGCTTTCAACCTTACAAAATAAGATTTGTGAGTCTTTTACAATTTTCAGGCTAACACAGAATCAATTAAAATTAAGAATAATCTCTAACACATGGTTAAAGTAGGCCTCAGCCTAGTTAGCTGTATCCCATCAACAGAACGTGTGCATCAAAAGAAAAAGAAAAATTCTCTCGTGACATGAAATAAAACTGACAAAAGGAAATGGTGCATTTGGTGTCCTTCCAGGTGCCGTTTAGAGACACAGGCAGTCAGAAGAGTCCTGTGAGCAGATGACAGAGTCCACGCAGGCTGTGGGAGCCTGGCTGCTCATTCAGACCTGCAGGGGCTCCTGCCTCCTGACCAGGTGGGCAGGTGTCCCCAGCAGGCTGGACCTGGGCTGGCACGCTGCTTACAAGTCTCAGCCACTGCCCCACAGGCCCTGTGGCATGCAGGAGTCGAGCATGTGACGCAGGAGCTGTGTTAGCATGAACCACACAAAGAAGCCATTATTCAGGAGAGCACCAGAATATATTGTAACTGCTCCCATCATGTCAATAGGCAACATTTTAATGGGTGTGTTCCAATTTCTCCCACTTGAAGATAAAGTGCCTCCCATTTCAATGAAAATAGGAGATGCCTCATTGGTAGGCTCCCATTTCACCCGGCAGCTGCCAGACACAAGAACAGAAGTGGCTGGGCGTGCACAGGGCTGAGTTTCTCTCTCCAGGCAATACTTCCATTTTATAATTTGTCTCCTCTTCAAGCCAAGAGATGAGCAAGTTACAAATATAATTACTATATTTCTGGACAAGCAGTAACACAAGCCATGGAAGGGCTGCAAGAGAAGGGCGAGCTTACCTCTGGCTCTGGCTGGAACGTGGGTTCATCTTCAGCAGAGTCTGGTAGAACTGCCCAGGTTACACTGGCACTGGCTGATGGCAAAGAGCCAAACGTCCCATTTTTCAACTGCTCTGTGGAATGTGACTTGGGCCCGTGCCATCCCAGGATGTTTTCTGAAATAGAGACCTAGAGTGATTCCAAGTATTTTGCAAATTAAACATTCATAGCTCAAGAGAGGTTTGTTCCTCGCTGTATAAAGAGACCCACGGCCCAATGAGTCCAATTTTAAGAGGAGTGTAGTGGGCTTGTCTGAATAAGGTACCAAGTCTCGAATCAGATCATCTATTTACAAACTAGTTTCTGTATAAAGGCAGTATATGGGAATCACCATTGGCTATTTCTCTTCCCATCCCTGAACAAAAACAATTCACATTTCACCAAAGCCAGATTTTCTTAAAGGTATTTTTATTATCTTTTTTTTAACTTTGAAGAATTATTTTTAAATATTTACAATAAAATGCAAAAGTCAAGTTTTATCAAAACTGGGCTGCTCAAAATATAGCTTGAATGCCAACTTACACGATGAGCACAGCTCAGAAAAGATGCCTGCAGTGACAACATACCACCACACCTGCCACTGCCAGCGTGGCCGGGATCAGGAAGCCCATCCCCAAGGACAGATGTGGTCATTCCATTCCAGCAAGAAATATTTTTATAAACACCCATCAGGTAACCCAACAGCATTTTTCTAATCCTCTCTCAACCCTTGGAGAGGAAAGACTTTCTCCGGGTTTTTATTGCTGCTGGGTTTTTGTTATTGTTTTAAAGAATCAGGTATTACTGTAGAATATTTGTGTATGCTAATGGGGAGAAGAGTAATCGGAGGCAGGCTACTTTATCCCAGACTAGCAATTTTGCTGTTAGAATAAGAATGGGTCTCAAACTCAGCTGACCTACCCTCTGGAGCTGGCACTCTCAGTCTAAGAGCAGAGATCAGGTGATGAAGAAAAGGCAAGCTAACGTGCAGACTGGCCACGTGAACAAGAACCCAGCCTTGCAGTGTCTCAGATGTTCCATCCAACAAGTAATCACATCCAGCAGCCTTTCCATTAGTTACTCATAGCAAAATCTACATGAATCCCAACCTTTAACACCCGGAGGGTATCTGGTTGGTGGAAACGAAACAACAGAGGCAGATGAAAGGGCTGTATATGTGCTCACGCATGTGTGTTAGTGTGTGCAATGTTATTCAACCGAGACGTGTTTTTATATAAACTTTTTTTTTTTTAAGGACAAGGGCTAGATTACATAACTCTACCGCTTAAAAGTCTCAAGTGGCTTCTCACTGAAGCTGGAGCACAATCTCCCTGCCCAGGTTGCAGGACCAGTTCTCACTTCATTTCCTCCTTTGTCACTGTGCTCGAGTCAAGCTGGTATTTTTCCATTCCTCAAGTGAGCCATGTTCATTACAGTCAAGAGCCTTTGTGCATGCTGTTTCTCCTGTTCAAAGGGCCATCCTTCCAGTTCTTCTACTAGAAAGGTCTCCTGCAGAAGTCCAGGGTGGGGCACAAACATCACTTGCCCAGAGAAGCCCCCTGGGACCTCCCTGGCCACAGCAGCACCCCAAAGGCACTCCCTATCTCATCAGTTTACTGTCCTCCCAGCACTTAGCACTCTCTGAAGTCACCCTGCTCTTCTGTTTATCCACCGTCTTTCTCTCCTCCCCAGAATGCCAGCTCCTTGAAGGCAGGGACAACATTGCCTTTGCTCCTGGCTGTATCCCCAGAACCAAAACATCATCTGACAAAGAGCATGTACTCAATAAATGTGCCAATGAATTAACGACTACTGAGATCTTCAGAGAGAGCAAATTTCAAGAAGCATGTGCATTTCACAACCTCCTGAAAGTTAAAAAATAAGAAACAGCAAAAAGAGAGACAGGAAATAGAATGGTAGCTGTGTGGGGCTAGGGACAGGGGATGGGAAGTGTTGTTTAATGGGTACAGACTTTCAGTTTTGGAAGATGGAAAGAGTTCTGGAGACTGGTTACACAGCAGTGTGAATGTAGTTAACACTACTGAGCTGTATACTTAAAAATGGTTAAGATGGCAAATTTTGTGATACATGTATTTCACCATTTTTTTCCAGTGGAAAAAAATGCATCAATATATCAGTCCTTGATGTCATTGAAAAAAAGGGGAAAAACTCACAACACTCAAATCAAAGGTTGAAGGATGAGCTAAGCCTAGACTTGGGATGTAGCAATGCATGCTGGGGAATGTAGTTCTTTTGTATACTCTATGAATTCAGATTATCAAAGAACCAGTGAGGGAGGATATGAAGGAACCCCATCCAGACCAGTCCAGCTACTCTAATAAATGTTCACCAGTTTGGGAGTCTGGATAGTCCTGTCATTTGAGGATGAAGAAGGAAAATTCTAATATACAGTGAATGAAAAGGACTGCATAGCGCTCAGGCAAAGCAATAGTATTCTTAAAAGGCTTAGTGGAAATACGTATCTCTGAAATTTCTAATGTAAGAAATTTAAGTGTAAGCAATATAGGGTAAAGCAGCCTGGGTGAAACAAGAATAGAAAGCCAGAAGAAGAAAACAGGCAGAGGTGAAAAAGGAGATGAGTGCACTAAGGAATTATTATGAGGAAACTAAATCAGCATTAGGATTAAATTAACACAGAAACCAGAAAAGGTAGAATCAATATCACAGAAAGTCAAGTAAGCAGCATGCCAAGATAAGGAAGTTCTACCTTGTGCAGTTACAAAGGGTGCAAAGACAACAATGAGAAAGAAGATGATGGAGAAGATGCAAAACAGAGACCCCGAGAGATCCTGGGGACAGAGATGAGATCGGTGGAGCAGCAACAAACAGTGACAAGGTAAAGAGACAGAGCCTGCGCCAAGAGAGCCCTGGGGGCTGCACCTGCCCACCAGCTTCCAGCACAACTAGTGGGAAAAGATGTGCATCTACACAGAGCTTGGCTATGCTTTTTGGCCAGGCTATTGCTATTGAAATTTCAAACAAATACAAAAGTAGACAGGCAAGGATATAATGAGCATCTAGTTCACTAAGTCTGGCAACATCAACAGCAACAAAAATCAGGAGAAAATTATTCCAATTATTTAGGCACAAAAATTAGACTTGCCTTAAAGGGGAAAAAAAATCAAGATAGTCTTGAATTTTACTATAGCCCTAAATGCTAGAAGGTGAATAGATGAAAAGAAGAATGCAAATAAAAGTCTACAGATGTTGGGTGGTGTGAGGAATTGGGGGATACACTCACCTTTAGCCAAGTTACCTTTACTCTGTGAAAACAAGCTGCCCTGACGGAGCTCCTGCTAGGTGCCGAGGACTAATGCACGCAAGGGGCACGCGCTATAGCTCATCTAGTCCTAATGAAGACCCATGAGGCAGGTCCTGGTATGCCTGCCTGACAGAAAAGGGACAAGTACAAAGAGCCAGGAAGGGGTAGAATTGAAATTAAAAGAGAGGCAGCCCGGCTCCAAGCCCAGACTCTTAAACTCCCCCTCTACTGTATGCCTGCTCAGCAGCACTGAGGAGATGCACAAAATAGTCTTACCTTCTCAGGGGGAAAAACTCCTTGGACGTATGCCAATATGTGACAAAAAGCAGCATAATTAAAAATTTGAGACTGGAGAAGTGGCAAAAATGGCAAAAACAATTTTGACTGGTGTTGAGCAATAAACTCAATAAACAAAGCTAAGCAGGGCTGGGAGTAGGAGGAGGTTTTAAAAAAAAAAAACGGCATTCACCGCAGATATAAAATTTAAGGGCACCAAAACACTCAGTAATCAAGAAAAATGACATTTCCATACAAGATTTTTGAAATCAAAATTAATGCCAATAAAAATCTTACAGGACTTGGTCTCCCTTACCTCCCCCTCTCAAATCGTGTCTTTACTTAAAATGTTAATGTTTTGTTCATCATGGATTATTTCCATTAATTTTGCTTTGAAAATATTGCATTAAAGTATCACTTATCTTAATGACTCTGGCATCCCCTGCATTCGTGCTCAAGCCCACTGCCTCACGCACCTCGCCCTGGTCCCAGCCGTGGAGCCAAATTTAAATAATTTTTCTAAACGTGGTTGCATACCTGACTATTAAGTCAAAATTATTTTTAAGAGATTTAATCATCATTACACATTAAGTATTCAATTAGTATTAAAATATTTACAAGTACAACCCCCAAATTACATTACCAAAATTCAGGAAGTGTATCAGAGAAACAAAGGAAATTAAAACATGCTGAGTCATGCTTTAACTAAAAGAGTTACAAAAAAGGAGTGCTTCATTCTTGACTTAAAGAATTCTTATGAAAAATGTAACGCAACCACTACTAGGATTTACATACATATTTCTCCTCAAAACACTAATGAGGATAAGAGTAAAGGAAACACAACATGTATAGCAAAATAGAAAGGAAACAAAAATGCAGCAAGAACACATAAAAACACAAAGCAGGAAGGAGACTAGCAGAAAAACACCTGCTCAAAGAAACACAGAAAATGAACTATATTATTCCATTGATAGACTCAACATATGGCATTGTGTCATAAAACAAAATGCCAGTTTAAACTATATTTCATTCATTTTAAGACACACTTCATTTGCACACCTGAAATTGGGGCTCATCTGAGAGTCAACAGCATGTCATAATTTAATGGGTAACTTTTTCCTTCTTAGTGGCACAGAGGATAACTTTCACTCAATGGTGTCCCTGCCCTGGGGCTCACAGCAGGGAGGTCATCAAAAATATTCCACAGAAAGAACAGCAAGCCACAGGGTTGGGTTGGTCCACCAAATGGCACATGCAGTCCTTAAGTCAGGCTTTTACACACACCTGTAGTCCTCACACACCATGCTTGGTAGAAGTAACCTCAAAGGGAAGAAGACCAACTACTAGTGTTTGGGCTCCATGCAAGAGAAACAGAAAGGTATAGGAGATGTGAGTGGGAGTGCGCAGGTTTGGCTGTGGGACTGTCTCAACCTGTTCTTCAGCCTCTGCTACAGTCTTGCTTGTTGTGCTCACCAGGGCTGTGAGGCCTCTGCTCAGAGGCCAGGGACAGGCAGTAGCACCAAGAAGGTCCCTCTCCCTTCCTCTGACCCAGTGAATTCATGCCTCCATGTTCAGGAA